AACGGGGACTAATAAAATAGTGTCTTCACATACAGTAATACTTCTATTAGTTCGATCAACTGAGTTTTGTTAAAAACAATACATTTTATTTTCCACTGTCAATTCAATCATCTGTTGGTTACACAATCAACATACACATAGTTTACCACATTCCAGGCTGCTCCCAAATCTATCCACAATGCAACACAGAGTAGTAAACAACAAACAAGACAGAGTAATGAAGATTTGACAAAGCTTCACAATTAAAACAGCATCAACATATATAATCATGCCCTTCTTTGGGTTTATGCAAATCCCTATCTTGTAAAATTTACTGATTTGGAAACTTACTTTCGACATGGTTCAAATGAGTAAGTGTGTTCTGCCTCCTCCTCTGTGACATCTGTTGTGTTATTTGTTGGCGAGTCTGTCATATCTACCGTCACAGACTGCGGTATGACAGAACCAACAGTCACGTCCAAGGAATCAAAATTTCCAGTGGAATCAACTGTTATATTGTTATCTTGAATCTCATTGGCTAGTGCCCCCACTACGCCATCATGTATACGAGAATCGTGACCAATCGGCGCTTGCCTTTCATTCTGTTCATTGCTGCTGTGCAACAAACTGTCAGGTTTCAGTGGCTTTCTAGGAGTTGTGATTGGACTAACAGCTGGAGTAGATGTATTAATGGCTTTATTAAGACTGGCTTCTCTGTAATAAGTACACACATTAGAGTAGTTTATAATCGTTTTAAAAAAAAAAATACCTAAATTGTTTCAAAATTTTGTCAAGAATAACTGTGGCATTTAAAGGGTTAACACAATGTCTGCTGACGCTGTTTTTTCAGTAATCCATACAATCATTCAAGTTGGCAAAACATTAAATTATATTCACAGTTCATGTTTTAAAACTCTTAGAAACTGAGAAGACATTCTACGTAGACTTGATAAAGATTGTCATGCAAACACATATTTTGAACCATTGATAGATAAATATGACATTTATATTGCAAACCTTAATAAATTTTGTACTTTAGTTTTTAATTCTTCATTCTCTTTAGTAAGCTGTGATATCCTGTCATTTAATTCATTTAATTGTACTTCCTGAAAAAAATCAAAATGAGCTAAAAAATAACTGGAATTAGTTCTTCTCAGTCAAGCACCAACCACGATTTATGCAAATTATTATTGACATGTGTAATATACCAGATTAAATACTGAGCAAATAGACCTTCATACTTCAATTTAGATTAGTACATTGTATTTGATAGAAAAAATTCACAAATATATTTATTTATATTCCCTTTTTACATGCACGAAATGTCCTGTTTCTGAGTGTGACTTGAAGCATAGTAACAACTAAGATCAAGTCAATGTGTTCTCATATCAGGAACATCACCAGTATGAGTCAACATTTGGGTAACAAACAATTAGAAATGATAGTAAAATGAATTTTGGGATTTAGATGATTAGTAAAACATGAATAACAAACAAATAATGAGATATGTTCTGAAACAACTCACTAATTTATGCCTTTCTCCATCTTGTACACCTTGATCAGCTTCTGTCTCTTCTGGCTGCTCTACTTCTACTGTGCCGTCATCTTCTCCACAAGCCACGTCCACAGACTCCTTAGAAGGTATAGTATGATTGGCAAAGTCTCGGTATAAATGCAAGACATCTGGAGGCTTTGGAATGTTCAGACCTACATCATCCCAATCTTCAAAATCCTGAACACCAAAAACATACACAGCAAGTGAGATGCAGTAAATTCAACATTGACTTTCTCTCTGGAAGTACACAGAAGGTAGAGCCTACCTGATCATCAACTTCATCTGAGAATGTTATCGAAGTCAGTTTATATTCATTCATCAATAAGTATTCATTGGTTAGAAAATTTAACGCCCGCTTTTCATGAGGTTTTACAATATCCTGGAAGAAATGCAAACAATTTGATTCATCATTATTAAATAAATAAATAAATAATCCGACATACATGCATGAGAGAAATCTGTTGCAACCAAATACCAGGTATAATTCAACCTTGATAGGTAAGTCTATAGAGGGCGCTACCCACGACTGACTGATGTTACATGTATGTATTTATAAACAACTTTGCATTTATAAAAAACAACACGAATTAGCATATAATTTACATAGTGTATTTGTGGTGTTTGTAAATTTGTTCAACTTTTTTCAAATTATCGATATGGTTATTTCTTTTAGTTAATACCAAGGACAAAGAATAATTGTTTCATATTTTAGAATAAAAATGCGAGTCACTGATTAAATCAACACATCATAATATTATTTTTGATATCAGTATTATTAGACTACAGTTGTTGCAAACACCTGTATCATTATAATGTAACCAGACCTGTACACTATTTTTTTTATTGTGACTTTAAGAGCAGAACTACTACATCCAGATTTGTGCAATAATTGTAGCATCATAATTAGAGCTGCAGTCTGTGAATAAGGTAGGCTAAAGGGTCCCCAGTCATAATGGAAAACAAGTTGAAATATTTGACAGCATTTTTTCAAATGTGTTTTTTCAAATCAGACATCCATCATATCATGGCATGACCAGTGGGTGTACTGTGTAGGAAATGTACAATCACTGTGTTGTTTTATTAATAAATCAGTCATGATAGAAAGCAAGTTGAATTTTATGACAGCAAGTTTATTTTCAGCTTAGGTTGAGTCTGCAACTATTTTTCAATTTCATTTACAATTTCCAACATTGACATAATCTTTTTTTTTTAAAGTTCTATTTTTGACATCTGAAATGACATCTACCAACCCAAATAAACCCAGCTTTCTGTCTGACGTCTGTTGGTCATTGTTTATGGCTAACAGCTAAGATGAGTCTCATAAAACAATAGCTAAGGGAATCATAGACAAGGGAAAGGGACATAGAAATTAAGCATGGTGGTAATAATTTTGAGCATAAGCATAGCAGTCTCTGCTGTTTGTATTAAGAAGAGATCACTGCAGTGTTTTTATTTGAATCAAAAGTGTATTTTGAACATACAAACAAAGCTAGCATTATAATTTCATTCTGGAAATCTTATCAATATAGTACCAAGCT